TGCTTGCTGCTTGCTTTCCCGGGAGCCTGCAGCCCCAGCACTGCAGCTTTGGGGACTGACAAAGGTCAGACTACTGGGCTCGTCTTCCAGAGCCCTGCTCAGCAGCAGCCTGGGGGACCCCAGCCCCGGGAGAGCACCCAGGGCAGCCCAGAGCCTCACCTGCCTCCTCCCAGCTGGGGAAATGCTGGAATCCTTCTAAGTCTGCAGACAGCAGGACTTGGAGAACAGGGTCCTGAGGGCAGAGAAACCTGGGCTGGGGGAGCCTGCTGCTGGCCCCTTCCTGTCTCTCCGGGGCTGTGAGCCCCCAGCCAGCCCGGGGCAGAGGATGCAGCCCTTCCCCGCCACCTCGCATCCTGCAGCCGGCCTCAGATGCTGCCTCCACCTCTTTGAGATGAAGGTGCTACCAGAAGAGAGGCAGCAGCATCCTCGCGGCAGGCGCCAGTGGCCAGCGCAGGCTGCACGGGGAAGGCAGCTGGGCTGAGCCCATCGTCGCGGAGCCTCCCCTGGGGAGCGGAGCTGATGCCTGGCACGGGGAGAGGCAGCAGGACCCCGCACGGGGCTGGCCAAGGCTGCGTCCCACTTACCTGCAGGCTGCAGAAGGCCAGCGAGAGGCCATGCTTGCGCAGCTCCTGCAGCAGCTCTGCCAGCCCCACCACCACCGTGTAATCAATGCTGCTGATGTGGCGACAGTCCAGGATGATGCAGCGGGGCGGAGATGCTGCTGGAAGAAGAGCATACGGTCATGTCCCTGACGAGTCCAGAAATGACCAGCCCAGGGGACACAGCCCTTAGAGCCAGAGCCGTGGCTGGAAGGGGTGAGACAGCCTCGGGAGCGCGGCAGCGGCCAGGGGCCGGTCCCCGCTGCAGGGAAGCTGTGCTGGCCCTGCTTGCACCCGCAGCCTGCAGGCCTGGGCAGCACTTGCCACCCCCCTCAGCAGTGATCCAGGTGGGCACCGGGGTACAGCCAGGTCCCCAGGACAAGCCAGCGGATCGGGGAGCGCCGTACCTGCCAGGGCATGGCTGCAAACGGCGTCCCGGAGGCACTCGATGGCTGGGAAGTGCAGGCTGCTCCCCGGCTGCAGGAGGAGCACATTCCCCTCCGACACCTGTGCAAGACCCGGGAGGAGAGGGATGAGTCATGGGGGTCTCGGGGCTGTGACCTTCCCCAGGCTGGGACAACTGCCCGTGTGACAAAGCAAAGCACTGTCCTTCCTGCTGGCGGGGGACACGAAGGAGCCCCCATCCCTCAGGGAAACTCCCTTCCTGCACACACCCCAGGCATTGGCAGCAACAGGGACAGTGATGCCTCCCTCTCCTGCTCTCAGCTCCTGGGATACCCTTTCCTCATGCTCCTTGAAAGGGATCCCTGTGCTGTGCCGATGGCAGGCTGGGGTCACGGCATAGGGCGGGAGCAGGTCAAAATCATCCTGGACCCCAACACCCTGCTGTCCTCGGGGAGCCCTCTCCCAGCCCCCCGGCAAGCCCGGCTGGCCCCACCACATCCAACATGAGGTGTGAAGCCCACCTTTATTGGGGGCCTGGCGATGGAGTAGAGGAGGAGAATCCCTGAGACCAGCACGCCGGCCACGATGCCGTACTGGACCTCCCAGAAGCAGAGCAGGAACGTCACGCAGAGGGGCACCAGGTCCAGCCCTGCAAGGGAGATGACCCAGGCTCAGCTGCGCCTTGTCCTTGCACCACAGGGCTCTCCGGGACAGCGCCTGCTCTGCAGGCAGAGCCGGGTTGCATCTGGGAATCAACTGCCCTCACTCTTAACCCGCCAGAGTGTCCTGAAGATCCCAGCATCAAACAACGGGACCACAGCTGAGATGATGACGGCGGCCAGCGCTGCTTTGGGGATGTAGTAGAAGAGCGAGGTGAGGTATGCTAGCGAGAGCAGGACCAGGGTGCCTGCGGGAGATGGGGAGCACCTGAGCCATGGGGCCCCCGACACCCAGGGTGCCCAGGGGGGAGCGGGTGCTGGGCATGGGGGCCTGCAGAGCAGCCCACAGGGGGGTCGGGGGCTCCACCTGTGACGAGCCCTCCTGCGGGGGTGCAGACGCCCGATTGCGCGTTCACTGCTGTCCTGAAATGCAAAGCAACACGCTGTCCCAGGCTGCGCTGGGGCTGGCCGGGGCAGGCAGCAGCCGGCAGCTGCCCCCACCCGCTGCCCAGAGACCCCACCCAGGAAAACCACCCACCCCGTCAGACCGCACCGGGGACAAACACGAGCAAGCCCGCGGCTCCCAGCCTGCAGCGGGACCACAGAGCACGCGAGATGGGAGGGAAGGTCACCGCGGGACCCATGCATAGCCCGGCAGCCAAGGTGGGCAGCTGGGGACCAGGACGCGAGCTCAGGGACCCACCAGGGTCTGCACAACCTTCCGCCCAAGATCTTGCAGAGCCCCCTCACCACACAGCCCCAGCGAGCATCCTGCAGGCTGGGGCTCCGCTCCCCCTCCTGCTACCCACCGGCCAAAGCTGCCCGTGATGGGATACGATGAGACGAAGGAGCCCAGGATGTTGGCGAAGCCTGCAGTGGGGAAGGAGAGAGGCTGGGGATGCAGCAGCTATGGGAGGCACTGCCCAGGGCCACGAGACCAGTCTGTGGCCCTGCTGTCACCTCCTCCATCCCCGGGCTGGTACCCGGGGCTGGATCGGAGCCCATCCAGCCATGTGAGCTGGGCTCAGGCTGCTCCAGAAATTGCTAAGCTGTGAGAAAGGCTGGGGGGGCACCATGCAAGATGAGAAAGGTGAAACTTCAGGAAGAAGTAGGGCTGCTGAGATGGGGATCTCTGGTAGCTCAGGGGCTGCGGGACTGTGGGAAAATAACGGAAGATTGGCGAGGAGGATTGTAAACACGCTCAAGTGACTTGCAGCTGGGGTGTCAAAAAACACATATATCATACTAATTGTTGTTTGGCCTTGTGTACTGGACAAGTAGAACATTTGTGTTTAGATAACATAGGCCTGTGATAGACTTAGGGGCGCCCTATTGAACATGCTTCAGATTCCTGCCCTGCTGTGGGAAAGATCAAAGCACAGCGGTAAACTACGCCTGCGTGAATCCTTGATAAACAGGCAAAAACAGCAGGTTCATTGATCCTCTAGCATGGACCGAGCTCCGCGGTGCCTGCGTTCCCGCTTGTGTGCCTCTGTCCAGGTGCTACTTCGGGGATCCCCCGATTGGCGAGGTAATGAAATTAAATTCACTATTTGCATTTCATCTGTGGTTTTGTGGCTGTTCCTGCGTCCTGCCTGTGCCGGCTCACACAGGGACACACGGCAGTGCTCAGGCCTGAACCCCATCCCCTGCCCTCCTGCTCTGAGAGGCCTCTTACCCATAGCCAGCAGCTCCTGGTTGGGGTCAATCCTGTAATCGTTCTGCGAGGCTGAAAGGAGACGAGCGGCATCGCCCAGAGCTTCCCGCAGGCACGACCCGCCATGCGCGCGGAGCGGGGCCAGCAGTGCCTGGGACAGCCGTGGGACCCCGTCCCGGCACTCCCCCATCCCAGCACCCCCTGAGCAGCCCAGACAATGCTCGGCCCCTGTGCAAACTCCAGCTGTGCACAATGCAGAACCCCCCCAGCCCACTCCCCAGTCAGGCATGGGGCAGCTGCCTGGCCAGGGGAGGTCAGCAGCACCCTGCGGGACCCCTCCTGCCAGCCCACACTATGAACCGGGCTTGGCACGGGCAGCCCAGTCCCTCCCACTGCCCCTGTGGGAACAGCAACGTCCCCAGCACCCCAAGCCCCCTGCAGAGACCCCTCCTGAGAGCGCAGGCACGGGAGCCTGGCGCAGCCATACCAAAAGCCTTGGCAATCGCAACGGTCTCCAGCAGGCCCATGAGCGGGACCACGGCCAGCCCGACCCCCATGTCCTGGGAGGGAAGGACGCGGTGAGTGTTGCCACCGAGGGATGAGGGTCGCCCCGCAGCAGAGCCTCCTCCCGCTGCGTGGGGAGCCAGCAAACGCAGGAGTAAGGAGACAGCAGCCTGCAGGGAGCCCAGCCTCCATTGGCCAGCCTGGCACCCACCTCCACCATGCTCCTGAAGGGGATGGTGCCGTTGGGTGCAGCCATGGAGAAGCGCGGCAGCTGGAAGGCAGGGAGGCCCCGGGGGATGCTGCCGGTGAGCGTGAACGGCTGGGAGCCCATCACCTGGAAGGAGTAAGCAACCAGGCCAGCAAACAGGACCACAAGGGCGTTGCGTGCTGCAGCAGAGAGAGCGACTGTGAAAACCTGCCTGGAGCCTAGGGCGGCGGGAGGGACGGCAGGAGGTGGGTACCCGGGCTGCCGAGGTCTTCCAAGCCTTAGGAAGGGGCATGCACAGCAGCAGGATCATCCTTAGGACTTTGTCCTCCCTGACCCACCTCCAGGTCTCAGCTCCTGCCGACCTGGGCTTTACCAGTTTCGGGCTGTCTCTTCCTTGCCCGGAAGAGACGAGACCCCAGGAGGGACGGCTGCAGGGGGGGGAGAGGGCAGGAGATAGCCAACAAACCCGTGGCGGAGGTCCAGACGATCAGGTAGCTGACCCTGGCAGCTAGCGGCTCCACGCAGGCACCTTGGGGCAGGCGGCTCTTCATCGCCCGGAGCCCTGCCAGAGCAGCCAGGCAGGCCAGCCCCAGGATGGCGTCCCCAGCCCTGCAACAGGCACATCAGTGCCAGCCCAAACACACTGTGGGGCACAGGGAGAGCTACCGCAAAGCCCCGTGGGAGGAAGAGCGTCTGCCTGGGTATGTGCCGTGGCTCTGCAGGGAGGTGCATAGCTCACAGGGACGCTGCCGGCACCTCCGCACCACCGGCAAAACGCGTCACCTCCCTGCAGGGCAGCAGGAGAGGGAGGAGGGGGTCTCCCCCACTCAGCGGTATGATGCTAATGGGTTTGTGGGCTCTTCATAAAGAGAGAATCAGGACCCCTGCGACAGGCAGGATCAGTGCAGTGGGATCTGCCTCCTTCCCCTCCTGCTGCTGCCCCTCACAGCTAGGCAGGGAGGTCTTCTGCCAGCCGTGATGAAGCTGATCCTGTGTGTCACTGTGCTGTGTGTGAAACCCAGGCTGTGGCACAGACCCCGAGCCATGGGTGCAGCTAACAGGAGAGGGTGGGGGGCACGGGGATGCCTGAGCTCCCTCTTGGACTGTCAAAAACTGGAGGAGAACTTAACGACACTGACAGTCCCAAGGAAGTGTCTTTGGGCTGGCAAAATCCTGGTGTATCTAACTGGGAGTGGAAAATAAGACAAGTCTGCCCCACCCTTCCTCTTTAGCAGCCTGGGAGCCCACGTGCTCCCCCGTCTTCAAATTTTCAGCTCAAATGGAAATGGCTGAGAACAAGCACTTGTGTCACAGCGCTGGGCAGGGACCAAGAAATCGGTCTAAGATGTAACCAAAGAGATGGGGAGCGAAGCAGCAGAGCTCGAGACGCCGCAGCTGCAGGGGGACAGAGCAGGGCAGGCGCAGGGACGGTGCTGACCTGGTCTCCCTGATCCTCCGCAGCGTCTCATACACCTGCAGGAAAAACTGCCGAGGGATCCCCTGCAGTCCCAGGATGTTCTGTGCAGGAAGACAAAGCCTGGTGAAAGCCCGGCACAACCCAAGCTGCCGGGTGCCGTGGAGGGACAGCCAGGAGCACCGGGGCTCAGCCCTGCCCGGGGCCCTGGCACACGCACAGTGTCGATGCTGCTGGTGAGAGCACTCCTCAACGACCACCCTGTGCTCCTGCACGCACTCCAGGATGGCCCTTTCCCTGCACGACTCCGTGCGGACAGGGCTCAGGGATGCTGTGAGACGCCTAGACCCCATCCTGCACACATGACTGCGACCTCTCAGGAAGGGGTTCAGTTTGGGGCCCCAGCCCAGCCTGCGCAGCCCTGCCGTCCCCCTGCACCGTGCCGGGAGCAGCGGCAAGGGCCCAGTGCCTTCGCAGCAGCCCCACTGCGACCGCAGCCGTTAGCCAACACTGGCCCGCTGGTTCCTTGCACAGCCTGACACCATCTCCCTTGAGTCTCTGATTTTGGTTAACCACAAAGGAAGCATTGCAGCCCCAGAAGAGCCAGAGGGCCTCAGGCCCCCGAGAGGCCAGCAAGGGACCAGTGGAGCTGCAAACCCACCATGCCCAAGAATCACCCAGCACCTCCTGCAAGTGACCAAATCAAATGTCCTGGTTTTACTGGTGTCCTGAATGCCACCGGCTGGTCACAGGCAGAGGGTGCATTCAGCTTGGCCTGCTCAGAACAGAGCACTCAGGAACCCACCAGAACCACTGGCAGGGGGGGCCTGTGCGCCCTTTGCAGCTCCTTCCTCTCACACCAAGCACATCGCCCAGCCTGGTACTAAATATCCCAGCTCCGCAGCACGGCCGGCTCCAGGAGAGAGCGGGCAAGGCATCCAGAGCAGACCAGCAGACCCTACCTTGATCTGGTTGAAGCTAATGGTGATGGAAGCAGCCGATGTAAACCCTTTAATGACTGGGCAGGAAATGAAATCCAGAAGGAAACCTGCATGAGACGGGTGGCAGTAAGCACGCTGCTGGCCCCGACGGGAAACACAGCGTGTTTGCATGCACACAGAGCTGTCACGAGTGTTAGCAGGACAACCCCAGCGTCTCGGAGAGCACAGGGGAGCAGGGGAACAACTACAGGATGTTCAGCGATATCCTAAAAATACAACCACGCATGACAAGAGCATCTCACCGAGGTGCAGGAGTCCCATGGCCAGCTGGATGCAGCCGGAGAGGAAGGCGAGCAAGATGGCATAGACAGGCTCATGGAACGTGTAAGAAGAGACAAGCAGCGACATGATGGCTGTGGGACCCAGCGTCACGTCCTTGGCGGTGCCCAGGAAGCAGTAGACAAAGCAGCCCATGAAGGAAGAATAGAGGCCATACTGCACAGGGACAAAAGGAGCACTGGCACAACGCTCGGAGCTGGGAAATGCCAGACACCCCCAGGACGAGGAGGGCTGGGCTGCCCTCAGGTCCCTCCAGCGCCCGCAGCCAGCCCTGAGCAAACACACGGCGCCTGCAGCTTCCTGCCCAGGAAAATGGGTGACTGCACAGGACCAGCCCTCGGCCGCCCGGCCGTCCAGCCCTCCCTGCCCTGCCCGCCATACTGCCAGGCCGCAGGCAGCGGTCAGGGAACGGGTGTCCCCGGGCACCCACGGCCGCAGGGCACTGCCACCCACCTGGAGAGGCAGCCCGGCCACCTCGGCGTACGCCGACGCCTGCGGCACGACGGTGAGCCCCACGGTCAGGCCGGCGATCAGGTCGAGCTGCAGCCAGGCCAGAGAATAGCGCGGGAGCCAGCGCAGGACGGGCAGCCTCGCA